GGCCCATAGTATCCAGCAGATATTTCCATGAAGCAGGAAATTTTAAAGACAGTTTAGTCACTTTCTTCTGTGTCCTGTAGAATGTCTCATAGACTCTTACATGCAGCAGGAACCCTGAATGACCATCTCACATTTAGGCAAGTTCAGCAGTTCTCTCTCTCTCTGCGGGTTCTTCATGTCCAGTTTATGCAACAGTCCAGGCGAGAGCAGTTTCTTGCCCAAGTGGCTAACAAACTCTATAAGGAGCCTCTTCGATGCCCATCTTCCTCTTGAAGTAGATTGGTGCTGCCAGAAGCAGACATGACTCATTGTCATGAAAAGCCCTAAGTTATTAAAACATTTAAAATGTCATATTCTGTAGTCTTTGAAAGATATAAAGAATGCCTCTCTGAAATATATCTCTATATACCTAGAAAATCTAACTAACATGACTATAAGCTTGATTATTATTGATGATTATCCATTAACAACCTATGTTTCCTAATTATACATTACATTTTTAAATGAACTACACAATCACAATACCTTAATCAATATCAGAAATACATATACATATAACAAAATTGACCTTAAATTTATATCAACAAACGAAGATTCATACCAATACAAATTAATTATATCTATATCATCTCCCCCTTTAAATGTAAAAGAACATTTATAAACAATATTTGGGAATAGGTGCAGTTATTTCTCTCCAAACTGCTTTGTGCTGAATGGGGACACTGTTATTTAGGTCTTTAATGATATAACCTGTGTGCTAGGTTCCTCTCAGTCAGCAGTTGAGCAAAGTAATTTTTTGAAGGTGTTCACAGCAACCTTTCAGGAGGGTGTGGTCTATCATACCATATTGGGATAGAAGCAATCCATAGGGTCTCATCCTCTGTGAAAACAAAAGAACCTCTTTTCCAAAGCATCATATCCTTAGATCCAAATTCTGAAGTCAAGATAGCTTTATAATACACATGTTGTAATAGCTTAGCAGACCACACAATGAAATGTCCCTCTATATTTAGCTTCTTCACAATCAAAAAATTGAAAGAAAATACAATAATGTACAGAATCCAGGCCCTCTGTGAATTTTCCATTTTTACGTGGCTTATTTTTCTTTATTTTTTAAATCTATAACTATCTGTACTCTGTCTCTTTAAGGATTTTACCCCCTTTTTTAAGGCATTAACTTTATTCTCTATATTCTTTTTTTTTCTCTCTCCCAAGCCTATGTATGTCTAATACTATGACCCATTTAGAGGTCTTTTATGTCTGAATCTGTCCTATTGCATTGTCTGTAATTCTTTACTGTCCAGGATCATTTTTGCTTTGTGCTTTTAAATCACTAAGCACTTAAGAATCTAAGCTGTGACATTCCTAAGTTAAAAACAGGTACTGCGGTTTTGCACCGCCCAGTCCAACATGGTGGAGCTGCTTGTGCCTCTGAGCCTTGCGCAATGTACTGCTGGCATGACGGAGCTGCTTGTGACTCTGAGTCACTTGTACCCCGAGCCTTGCACACAATGTTCCCCTTTAAGGCACATAGCAAGTCCAGTTGCCATCAAAGAAACCATAGCACTTTAGTCACAAACCCCATTGAAATGCTCTGTCTCCCACAAGAGACAGAGGTTGCACTGGCAGCACAGCCCAACCAAACTGGTATCTCAAAACCACCACTTTCTAGACCTGATCCCCTGATCCTGCTGCCTACCCAGGCAGGAAGAGCTGAGCCACAGGCATGGTCTCAGCTACTTTGTTCCCGACCCCGATTGGGCACAGAAACATCCGGGCCCAGAAATGATCCATAGCTGGAGTTTACAGCCGCGGCAGGACCCAGGAAGCCGCGTTTTAAAATGGCGCAGCTTTTTTTTTTTTTGGTACAGCTGCTGAGTCAGGAAAAATCGCTAGCAAACAGCAAAAAGCTATGTTAAATTCTGGGTTTTTTTTTTTTTTCTGTGTGTTTAGAATTCCTTTTTAAGCCCTCTCAGGTTTTACATGGTGTTAATTACCATGCTGGAGCACCACTCTATAGTAAAAGAAGCGCGGCCTTCTTTTTATCCTGCCTGGCTCTCGGCTAGCTTTACCCAAAATAATTACATGGAAACTGTATTCATTTAAACACTGCCTGGCCCATTAGTTCTAACCTCTTATTGGCTAACTCTTACATATTAGTTTAACCCATCTCCATTAATGTGTATTGTCACTTGACTGTGGCTTACCACCATGAATCTAACCAGCATCCATCTCAGAGAGGAGAGCCATGGCATCTGTCACACTTCCCTTCTTCCCAGCATTCTGTTCTGTCTACCCTGCCCACGTAAGGGCTGCCCTATCTAAAGGCCTAGGCAATTTCTTTATTCAATCAATGAAAGCAACACATAGAAAGAAAACCCTCCTACACCAGTACTAAGTGCAAAAATAACTGAAAGCCATGAGAAAATGCTTTTAGAACAGAGAAGAGAACAGCAGGGTAGATTGGTTCAGGGATGGATAGGCTTCACGTCCATCACCACCTAAGGACACACATCACATAGGAGTCAAACGGGAACCAGAGCAGTGATGAGAACTTCAGAGCAGACACGAGACCGGCTCCTGCTGCATCCACCAGCCAGTGCCTTTGGACAGGGTTCCCGCAGGTCCCTGGCATCACTTGGAGAAGGGATGCTCGCATCTTGCAGAGTTATGGTGAGAGACCCAGGCTCCAGGGCATTATCTCCCCATCTTGCTTGGTCATGTCCTTCCTAAGACACAGACAGTGGCAATGGCAGACTCTTGGGATTCTCAGCAGCCAGGTTCTCCCTTTTTCAAAGCAGTGACCAACCAATCTGGGCAGGGCATATGCCTTCCCTCAATAGCCAAGGGTTATTTCCTGTGGGGCTTTGGTGTTCTTTAAAGGTATGCAGAACTAGTTGTGAATGTATAATGTGTCACAAGGAACTAGACTGCAGATTCAAGTAAAAATCATTTATTTTCCACACGTGTGACTATCCGGCCTATCAAGTGGGAAAACCTTTTGCTAAGCAAGATTATGATGTAGGATGTTCTTCTGTATATGTGTTGCTTTTATTGGTTAATGAATAAAGCTGTTTGGGCCGATGGCTTAGCAGAGTAAAGCCAGGTGGAAAACAGAGATTAGAGAGAATAGGTGGAGTCAAGAAGATGCCATTTAGCTGTGGAAGGATGACAACGAAACCTTACCATTGGCAAACCATGAGCCTCGTGGTAAAACATAAAATAATAGAAATGAGTTAATTTAGGATGTAAGAGCTAGCTATAAATATGTCTGAGTCACAAGACCAAGCAGTGTTAAAATTAATATAGTTTTTGTGTGATTATTTGGGTCTGAGCAGCCAGGAAATGTAAGCACAATCTCTGTTAAGAAGATTATGTCATTATTTCAGGTTGTGGTAAGTCTAGTATTCTTGGCTCCTGTCCAGTAAAAGCCAACCCTTACACACAGACACACACACATACACACATGCACACACACATATGTACATGCACATGCACACACTCATACATGCACACACACATCCATGAATCTTAGCTCCTATACCTGTACTCGCCTACAAAATGCTTTTTGTGGTCCACTTTGTCCTTGGTTCCAAACCACTCGGTTTGCCCCAGCAGCAGCACAGGCAGAAGTTGGTTTTGTAATTCCACTGCATGGGGAGCAGATGCTGAGCCATGTAAGCTTCCAGAGGGTCATCTCAGCTCATCAAAATTTCCCTAGCACTATAAGAATATGAACAGAAGCTCTGAATGGACAAGTGAGGTCACAATGACTTCAGGAGAGCATGTGACAGCTGAGAAACCACACACACTGGTGGGTACGAAACCAGGAAATGACAAATCCTTTCTCAGCTCCTCCCATGAACCTCCCAATGATATTGTTACATAACAGGCCCATGGTGTCTGCAGGGAGGCCGGCTTCACGTTTGAGATGAAGAAGATGTCACCAAGTGTTTACTGCCCTCTAGCTTCCTTTCTTCCTTATTTATAATTCTTTTACCATTATTCTTTTGGGTTTAAATATTGAAATATTTTGCTTCATCACTCCAGATGGGGATGTGTTATCGTCTAAGGGAACTAGGTATCACTGTCTGTAACACCTACCTACAGTCAGTCCCATAGTATACATCAATTCTGAATGAATTCATTCATCCCTCGCAACCATGACTTTTATATCTTATTAATGTATTGAAGCCTATAACTTTATATCTGGTCATCGTATTCTCCTGGAGCATGGAGTGTGATATCCCACACAGAGAAGAAATCCAATTAGGCAGGGTTTCCTCACGTGATCTTGGCATAACCAGAAGGATTTTGGTTGTTCCCTGGCCATGGTTTTCCCCCACCAACAGACTGCTTTGTGCCGTAGAATTACATGGTTTCTGTTCCCGTCCCGGTTGTTTTCTGTCTGCCACAGTCTTTGTCGGAGGGAGGGAGGGAGAAGAGAAGGGGGTATCAGGAGAATGGACCAAAGTTGTGCTAGATTCTCTCCAACATCTACACACTGACCTAGGTCCTCTGAAACCCATAGTGGGACAGTAAACATTTCAGTGTCTGTGGGAGACATGGCTCTTAAAAGAAAGTTACATTATTTAAGGTGCAGAGACTTCAGGGCAGGTGTGCCAAGAGTACACTGCTCAGAGCAGGGAGCTCTGCCACCATGGAGACACGGTTCTAAGAGGCAGTGGTGTCCAGATGTGAGGCTGGTGTCATAAAGGGTGTTTTCCTGGGTTACAGCTGCCCCTGCCCCGCCCACCCTCTGTGCTGTCCCTGGTCCATTCCTCTGTGGTTTGTCTCAGACACTTAGCCAATATAAATATTGACTATATTGGCACTTAAATTTTGCAAGAGAATTTTTTTTTTAGTGGCAACGTGGCAAAGAGGTCATTAAATTTCATAAATTGCAAATAGTTGGATTAGCAGGTAAGGTCACTTTAAAAAGAAAGTCTCCCTTGAACGTCAGCTGTGGTCACTGCCTGATGCCATGATCTGTTACCTAGGAAAGAAAACAGACGCCTCTGCTGGCCAAGATGCAGGACACTCCGAAGGCCCTGGCCAGTGACCCCGACGTCAATAAGCACGAGAACAAAATGCAGAAGGAAGAGATGTAAGGACGGCGTGGCTGGGGCAAGCGGGGTCTGGTTTGGAGGGCAGGTGATGAAATCTAGACTGCAGGGTTTAAAACCAAACCAGGCGGGGCTGCTGAGACGGCCCGGCAGACAAGTGTTTGCCTTGTAGGCCTGGAACCTGCATGGTGGAGGGAGGGAACAGCTCCAGAGTTGCCATCTGACCTCCAGGTGCATACCAGGGCACACAAGCACCACACCCCCACTCCACCCCTCCCCTCCTGCACCCCCTGCTTCACCTCTCCCCTGCTTCACCCCCACTCCATCCTTCCCCTCCTCTTTCCTTCCAATAAGTAAAATAAGAACAATTTAGGAGGTAATTAGGACTACAGATCCCATAAGTTTCCTAAATATGGCCATTCACGGCATTAGCTGTGCAGTTCTCTAGGGCCCTGGCCCCTGAGCAGTACAAAACTGCTCTAGACAGAAACGGCCATAAAACCCTGGGTGGGATTTCCAGCTCCCATGGAATGGGCTCAGACCCTGAGTTTAAGAGCAGGCATGGAGGTTTGGTGTGTTCCCAGCACACCGGAGGCTAAGGAAGATGCCTGGACTATGGTGTGAGGTTCTAAAAACCCAACACCGTGGCACAGCCACCACCCACAGCAAACTGTGTGCGATGAGCAATAACACATTACGAGAATCCAGCCACGGAGACGTCTGTGGGGACGGCATATGCATGTTCAGTGCTCTGCTACAGCCCTGAAGTATTCTTTCCACCGAAGCATTGACATGGGTTCCGTCTGGTTTGCTAAAAAATACTTCCAGCTCTCAATGGTGCAGGACGGGACGCTATGTGGGTTCTCAGGGCTCAGGACTGGACGCTGTGTGGGCTCTCAGGGTACAGGACTGGACGCTGTGTGGGCTCTCAGGGTTCAGGACTGGACGCTG